TGCAAAGGCACTCTAGTGTTTCCTTCTGAATAGAGTTTGTCTGAAGGCTGGGTTCGCCTCGGTCTGTCCCAGCAGATGTTTATGAACGTCTCAAACCTCCTCCATCATTGCTCTCATGATCTGTTTTGACAGCAAAGCCTGTCACGATGCGTTTCTTTTGTGTGTGCCGTTGTATGTCTGCTTGTGTCCACACATAGAGTTGCATAGATTTCCACTCACTGGAATCTTGTTTTATTGTGATTTCAAACAATGTTTGAGAATGTAATAGAATTGTGAATGTGTCATAATAACCTTAATCGTTGTTGTAATAGAGTACATACTTAGGTGTGTCCCAGTAGCCTTCTGTCCTTTCTTTGATTATACTCATTACACACGTACACTTACATATAGTGTTTACAGTTATTTCAACCCAGTCATCTCATGGTGTAGTATGTGAAGCTTTTCGTAAGTTTGTTTGGAAGGTATTTTTATAATTACTATGTATTTGTGAGCTTTGATGAAGACAGAAGGAGAAGACTTATAATTTTCAGAAAGCACCAGAGGCAAGGGCTGTTTGGGAAGAAATGCATCATAACAAAGGCATTAGGCAGGGCAACCTTTTCAGTTAGTCACCACAAGGAATTTAGATGTCGGTGGAGACGTGAAGTCGGAAGTCACAAATGAGGATGCCTCACGTTTATTTTAAGAGTCACGTTAATTTAACAAGCACAATGAAACTGGTCATGAGCAGAGACCCTGAAAACTCTTGGCAAAATCCTGTGTATTCTCTTCTGTTTATTTCATTTTGTGAGTCAGAATTGGAATGATGATGTTGAAATAAGTTGATGTATGTCTTTTACATCAATATTATAAGACATGGTTTATCAGCACAATTTAATATATATATTTGGTCCTGTCCAATGTATGTCAGTTCCTCAGAGCCCCAGCTGACGTCTTCAAGTGTCTACAGTTCAAAATCTGAAAAGAAAAGAAAAGCAGAAAAGCCTTAAATTGGAGAAGCCGGAACCAGCAAATATTTGCCTTTTTTCTGAAAAAAACCTGACAAAGTTGATGTCAAAGTAATTATCTTTCAATTAACTTATACATGTTAACATAAAATATATGTTGCAGAAGATTTTACTTAAGCATTGATCTTATGTTATAGTTTCAGTCTCTTTTAATTTTGGTACTAACATATTTTGTCCCACTTCCCATGACAACAACATACAGCCAGGTGACTCTGTTTATATATTTACTTAGAGCAGACTGTGTATGGCCATGCTTAAGCTCTTGTCTTTTGATTTACATTATTCTTTGTGCACATGGTCCCACGTCTTTGAGTGAACATGCAAGTCCGGTAGGCATTGCCTCTCAGCTCTTTTTCTCTGTTTACAGAAGCCATGCTCTCTTAAACATGAAAAAGGTTAATTTGAAGTGCTGACAACTGTCTTAAATGAACTGTGTAATTATGTCCAGTAACAGACTTCAGGTTGAATTAGAGGCAAGTCAGTCACTGGTTTAAAAGTAAAACAGTATAAAAAGTAAAGATTCCTAATTAACACAAACACATAAACACCAAAGCAAGATAGAATTTCTTGTAATTTATTTATTAAGCAGAATAAATTCAGTTGAGATGAATTATTTAAAACACAATTCTTCTCTTTAGAATAGATCATCTCAGGGTAAGACTACCATGGAACTTGCACTACCTAGTTTTAGGCTTTAATATACTGAGGCTGTGAATGTCAACTCGGTTTCCTGCTGGTTGGATGACCCTGCAGGAAAGTGTGAGCAGTTCCCACTTGGTGCGGTCATTATGTCCCCATTAGGCTTAGGAAATAATGTTGTAGATGCAATCTCCATTATTCCTAATACAATGCTAATCTGGAAACAAATTGGAAAACACTTTAAGCTCAGCACAGTGTCTGTTATGCTACCTGTATATCTCAAATCTCTGCTTTACTCCTTGGAATATAAATAGGGCCTAATACAGAGAGATAACATCAGATTCCTCTGCATTAAAGGGGATATTTAAGTTGTCTGAATAGCTGAACTGAATCACTTCTTTACATCTCCAGAGGTAAAACTGTGCTTGCACAATAAACGTCTTTAAAAGAAAGGGAATGGAAAGGAAAAGTTCAGCCATGCTGCTAAAGATCCTAGTGGCCTGCTATCAACAACATCATGTCTGTTTCAGGCATGTTCTCCCTTGCGTTCATCTATCAATTCCCCCGGAGCACTGCATGGAAATGAAAGTACACTTCCACAAAAGAGAAGATGACTCTCTTCTCTCTTCAATGGAGCTAAGACACATTGCATTAAAATCACCGAGATGGAGCCGGGTGTAAATGGGCGCGCATAGTTTTTCTGGAAGGTCGGATGGAGGGATCCGGGAAAAAGGGACAGAGAGAGAGAGAGTGAGAAAGAGGGATATGCTTGTACTTCCTCTCCGCCCATTCTTTCATGCTTGCTGAGTAGCCCCGCAGTGCAGGCTTTGTCCCAGTCATTGTCACAGGCTTAGAGAGCCTCTTTGCCAAGTGAGAGGCTTTGGCGACATATGTCACTTCAGTGAGTCTCCTTTAGCTGCTTGAGTGGAGGGGTGGGCAGGGAGGCGTGTCTGTGCACCAGGAGAGGAGCAACGTGAGGTGGAGGACGAAGAGATGAGACATGTTAGTTCAGAGAGTTGTTGGAATGATCCCTTGATGGTCCCGTCCCATACTTTTTCCATGGGCTTGTAGTGTAGCTGCGTTGGGCCTCTTCTAGAGGTGGACTTCAGATGTGGAATGACTCAAAAACCAGTGAGTATTCTTCATGAAAAGTATGCTATTAGCCCCTTGGAAATGGTTTCTTTCTGCATTCATTGTATATGTGTTTGAGCATAATAAAGTGTGTATAAACAATTTCTGCATTCCTTTGCTGTCTGTACTTTGCAGCTACATGTACATATTCTGTAGGGGTGCTGGTTTGTCTGAGGAAGGTTGCAATACGTTTGAGTTAAAAGAAAGGGAGCGTGTGTATACAGCGTGTGTTGGCAAGGATTAGCCATGTAGTAGTCACACTCTGCTAGCCCTGGTCAACTATTGGTTTAGGAAACACAATCCCTGTGGATTTGTGTCTGTGATCTGCCATGTGTTCAGGTAATAGATCCTTTGCTCCCAAAACAAATGCTTTGTTATGTGTTTACATAGGGACTCCACCCCATTTTACACTCTACAGGATTTCTTATATCTTACAGGATTTTGCCTTTCAAACAGACTGTGTCAGCTTTGTTTAAGCTATCATTTAAGTGGCAGGTTTGCAGAGCTCCACGTGCATATACAGCTTAGTAACGTGCCTAACGTAAAGGTGGTGTGCACCAGGCAGTGGATCTGCTGCACATGAATGAAAGTTGGTCTGTTAGGTTGTTGCCGTGTTGCCAGGATAAACACAAATCCGGATAAAAGGTCCCACTTCTCATGTCATTGGTGGACTCTGGGCCTCCTACCTAACAAGGACTCTGTGTGCCCTGCTGGACTGATGCGGTTTTATGTTTGTAATTTAAATCACAACACTGTCACTAAAGTTTTTACTTATGCCCTTTGTAATAGTGCTGTAGGTAGTCCCTAATGCGAAGCTGTATCTCAGCTGTGAGTGCAGGCGTGCACATATGGGCATGTGTCTGTGTGAAATACAGTATACATAGCATCAGACTAAGAATGACAGAGGCTTACAGCTTGATTACAAAATGAAAATGTATGTTCACTCCACTGTAACAGACAACAACAAGCTTTGTTTACCATTCAATCCGGCTGAAGATAATCACAAAAAGTTCTTATTGCAAATAATACTCTGCCACAATCTCTCAATTTGTTTAATTGATTCTAAATTCACGCAGCTTAATCCTTCATCTAGTCTACAACAATTACCACTTTAACCTTACGCACTAAGAAGGGACAACTCATGCAGCTTTGTGTCCTTAGAAGAACCCTGAGTAGCACTCAGTCATTGTTAAGCAGCGTACTGTATGACTGCTGGGGCTCCCTGCCTTCATTCTCCTGATAGCAGGATTAGCTAGAGGGTGAACCCATTTGGCATTGCCAGTGCTCCCGCCACAGTCTCAGCACTGTGAGAACTAAGCCGTGAAATACTGACAGGCTTAGACCAATTTATAGTCTGCCATCTTGGATCTAGTGATCGTAGTAGACAGCAGCTTTGTGCCAGTCGGGTTTACTGTAAGCATGCCATGCAACGCCACCAGCCAGGCTTTACAGTTCAAAGGGTAATCTCCAGACAAGTGCACTGATGTGTTGTGCTACAACCTCACAACAATAGGAGACAACTGCCTTTGAATGGCTAGTGTACCCAATGGGAAATTTTGCATAAATTGAGCACAGGTTTTTTTTATTAAATGGGCCTCAGTAAAGAACTTTAAATGTCTTCTTTTTAATACACAAAATAGTCAAATATATTTAATGTGAGTGGATGATTTAATTACTATGATGAAAATATAAAATTAAGGATTTCAAATATTTAATTTTAAATGATGTTGTCCTTTGCTGATGCTCTACTAATCCTTCTTGATCGTTCTGCCTTTGAGTGCTAAACCTTCATTACATTCCTTTACAGATAATCTACATTTACTTGCAAAACACCATGAAGGCCATCATTCTCACCCTGAGGCGCAGCCTATTTGAAATAAAACTCATCAGACGAGAACATATTATAATCAGGATTGTTATAGAGAAACACTGCAATGTATGTAGGTGTGACGAGCTTTTATGTTGTCAGATCTTATTTATGTATTTTTTTTTTACTTTCACTTGGCAGTCAGCCTAGTTGTATAAAATGCCCGTTTCCAACATTGCTACCTTAAGTGTTATTATTCTCAGCCCATTTAGAGCTCACCAACTCTCCCTATGTGATGTTCATTCAGCGCTGCACTTCTGTGATTACAACAGATGCTTGTAGGGTCCTTAACTGTTGTTTTTTTCCAAGCGGAATTAGTTGACTTATCATGTTATCATGTTGTTGTTGTTTTTCAGGTCCTCTGTGCCTTGCAAATTCCAAGTGATGCCAGTTGATCTGCATCAACACGTCCTCCTGATCCCTACTGTCTCCGTTAACCAGTTGAGGGTGATGAGGATGATGAGGGTAGTGTGGACCCTGCAGCTTGTTCTGCTACTCGCCTTGACCTCCAGGGCAGCGGGCTACAATATTCCTCTGGAAGGTAAGAGTGTCATGATACTGATTAAGGTCATGCTTGTTGTAATGTCCAGTAAATATCAAGAGTTGATTTACATGTTTTTGATTGGCATGGAAAACAAAATCTTTATGATCTTATCTGTAAGATGAAAGGGTCGCTCATTGTGTGAATTCAGTCTGTTCTGAGTAACAAAACATTTGTCAAAAATGTGTGTTCATCATACTTTTGGCTGATCATCCTGCTTGACTATAAATGTTTGCAGCTCTTAAAAATGATGACTTACAAATAGCAACTCAAAGTAAATTGTTCAAGTCACAAGTGTTGCAGCAGAGCTGTCTTTGTTTAGGGCTAAGAATGCTTTGCAATCAAGTTCTGGTGTGCTATTTTAGTTCAGTGTCTATCTAAGGCACCTTATTTGTCCAGATTATGCAGTGTTGTTGGCATAGAACTTTGCCCTGTACTGACTTCTCACCATCATACAGGGCAGTATTAAAGAATAGGAAACGGTAGAGAAAAAATACAAAAAAGCGTTATTTCCTATTGTGCAGGGTAATCTTGTAACAAAAACCTAATCATCAATGTTAATATTGAACATTTTTGTGATCATTTTGTATGTTTGTTTTTATATTATAGTGGAACAGCCTCCAACCATAATAACTCACACATCTGGTCCCATTGTTGCCCTTCCCTATGATAACACCGTAAAGATCAGGTGTGAAGCCAGGGGCAACCCACCACCAGAGTAAGTGATTCCGCAACATATTCTCTATCATAAAAAAACAAACCAAAAAAAACAAAACTGTATCACTGATTTAGATCAACTGTGACAAAAGATCATCACTTTCATCAGTTTCATTAAACATTATGTATATCAGTAATGGATTGAAACCCACTGTATATTTTTTTTCAGATACAGATGGACAAAAGATGGCCTAGTCTTTATCCCTCCACACTTCACAACAAACAAAACCAACCACAGTGATGGCACTTTTGTGCTTCACAACAAGCACCTCATCCAGTTTCAGGGTAAATACAGATGCTACGCTTCTAACAAGCTTGGAACTGCCATGACAGAGGAGATTGAACTGATTGTTCCCAGTGAGTAACCTTTACAAAAAAGAAGCTCATCTATAACGTGGAAATGCTTGTGCTTTTCCACGTCACTATATAAGTGAATTTTCTTTCCCAATTTTCATAATGAGGTTTTCATTTTGTTTGATGTCTGTTTTCTTTTTTAATTAGGTATTCCCAAGTTTCCAAAGGAAGGAATTGATCCCATTGTTGTTAAGGAGGGAGACCCAATCATCTTGCACTGTAACCCTCCAGAAGGTTTGCCCCCACGTCAGATCTACTGGATGTCTATTGGTAAGCCAAGAAGCGACTGTTTGTGCTTCTATGCTATGCAGAAATGTTTCTGCCTGTATCGAATGTACACACTTGAATAGAGAGGGGTTCCATAAATCGTACAAGTGGAGATAACATCGCACACTTTTACCTAAAAGGCATTCTTGGTGGTACACTTTGGTGTACGGACAAAAAGTGATGAAAGTATGAAATAGAATCCTGGCTTCTTTCACTCCTCCGTTTACCTGGCCAATCGTAGCACAAGGTGGCTGTTTCAGAAATGTAAAACACAGGAGATAGAGTGTTTCACACGCCGTTAGACTGACGAGTTTGAAGCACACTGAGGCCTCATGAGTGAGAAGCTGGTATTCGATCACGTCCATTTCAGGGTGGGATAGTGTAGATAGTGTGAAGGTCTGTCTGCGTAACACCCTACTGAAGTTTCTCATAGATTTAAAGAAGTACTTGGCGAGTCTATGTGCTTTCGAAGAGGCATGTCCTCTGGCTGTCCTCACCTCCACTGGCCATCAGTGAAGTTAGCATTAACAATAAGAACAAAGTCACACACTGAAGGCCCACAAGTTTACCTCACATCAGGCGCCTATTCCCCACCACTGCCAAAGAAAGTAACTTACTGTATAAAAAGTTCCATCTAAAGTGCTTTGTCAGGGGCTGAGTTTTCTGTCCAGCCCCTTGAGAGCTCCTCAACACCTCCAACAAACCTGTCTGATGTCAGAAAGAAAAATATAGGCTATAGAGTTTTTTAAGGGGCTCAGAAGGACAGGGCCTAGAGGCATGGAACAGATTGAGTGAATACACTTCAACAATTCTTGTTTTAAAGTTTCAAATCTTTATCTTTTACTTGTAATTTTTCACACGTATATATTTCCAAGGGTTGACACAACAATCAGTACATCAAATATAATAGGAGATACGTTGATATATACATTGCTCGTCTGAAAAATACAAAGACATCAATGAAAACAGTTCAGTGCTTGCTTTGTATTAGTGACCCATCTTTCCCTCAAGTCCCATGTAAGATAAATCAGAGCCAAATATGTCTTTTCTTATGAGTTTGCTTTGAACGCTGACAAAACTACGAATGACTTAAGGCTATGTCTTAAATGAAGCTGTTAGGTACTGTGAATGGGCTGACCAAGGAGTGACACAGAGCGTCGCTGACCCGTGCTTTAAATAATGTCTCTATGTAAACCAAACATGCTGTAACAGTGTTCTTAAGAGTTCAGCGGCTCTCTAAAAGGAAACTCTTTAGGGCACTTCCATTTATATCTTACGTTAATGGAAAGGATGTTAATAACGTCTATATGAGGCTACGCTGTAGTTTGTAACCATGAGACCCAGAGGTTGTTAAATAAAGTTTTACCTTTTTTTCATTCTGGTGCCCTGATGGATCTTTTTGAGAGGTTCTGTCCGATTTGTGCTTTCTTACCAGCCCCAATAATGTCAAAAATATAGGCTGACATTATACACAGCTTGTCTACATTGATTGCACATCTTTTATACCATTATGCTCTTTATTTTTTTTTTTTAGGTCTCCAGCACATTGAGAAGGATGAGAGGGTTTCCATGGGCATTGATGGCAACCTGTACTTCTCAAATGCCTTGCAGAAAGACAGTCGGCGGGACTACTGTTGCTTTGCTTCCTTCCCGAAAATCCGCACCATTGTCCAGAAAAATGCCATGGCTGTTATTGTCAAGAGCTGTAGGTTTACAAAATTGTCTGTGTGGCTTTAACCAAAATACAACCTGTTGTACAACTGCAGCTCATGTTATCATGGCATCACAGACAGGTCCCTGAGAAGTTAAAATACAAAGATATGATACTAAAAAAGACAACATCTGCATGTATTTCCAGTTATTTTTACTGATATATTTAAGATGTTCCTGAAATGGATACCAAGAAACAGGGCTTGCCTTGTCATGTTATGCTCTACAAAACTCTAGATAGGCATCTATAGCAATAGACAAACCATAACCACCACTACCAGCATTATTCTCACAGTGTTTTGTTTTCGTTCCAGTGAGAGCTGACAATGAGTCTGCTGACAGCGTCGATGACAGTGAGTGATATTCACACATCAAAGCCTTCACAGTATAAATCAAAACACATTTCAAAGGCAACGTATCTGGCTTGCTGCAGATAAAATATTTACTTTTTTCTATATAGATTATGTGATTGGTTTAAATTATTCATATGGCTGAGGAAGAATGTTCTTTATGTTCGAAGCTCCTGAAGCCCCCCCAGTGAGAAAACCTGGCCTGTTGCTGCCCTCTGGTGTTCAGACAGAGAAGGTGCTGTTGAAGGGAGAGAGTCTGCAGCTCGAGTGTATACCACATGGATAGTATGTATACTGTACATGCTGTATCATTACAACTGCAGCCACATTATCATTACGTATAATCTATTATCATATTTATTTGCTATTTTGGCTTGTAAAATGTCATTGTTTCATGTTATAGTCCCACTCCAACAATGAAATGGATGAAATTGGGAGACAAGATGCCCTCACAGACAAAATATGACAACTATGGAAAGCGATTGACCGTCTCTGCTGTGGAAGAGCAGGATGGGGGGAAATACATGTGTATAGCTGAAAACTCTGCTGGAAAGGCTGATCACTATTTTGATGTAATAGTGGAAGGTAGGTCAACACCGAGAGCTAGTGACGCATGTATTTAAGGCTGCATTTGTTTTAGTTTCTGAGAGAAAGCTGTTGACACAGAGATGGCAGTTGTTTTGACTCAAACCAACAAAGCTCTTCTTAACATCTCCCAGAGCCGCCAAAGTGGCAGACGGAGCCTCCTCAGAGCCAGCTGAATGTAAGTGGGTCTGATGTTCACATCAAGTGCGCGGTCAGTGGAAAACCATCGCCAGTCATAACATGGAGGAGGAATGGAGTATTGTTCAGAGGTGAGTGGGAATAATTTGAGCTGTGGTTTTATGCATCTTTTGCCACTGGGCAGAAGGAAAGAGCAGCGAACAGTTACAACAAACTTCAACCTCAAGTCCACAAGTAGCTGCTCCGCATGAAAGCTCATGAAATGCAACACAGTCTTGCAGGAGTGGTGTAGTCTAGAGCTGCTGTATATCAGAGGGCTGATATTAGTGGCTAACAATCGATATACTGGAGTCACTGTATACTGTACATTGGCAAAATATGCAAAAAGAAACTACAGGTTTTGCAGATATTTCTCCTAACTTTGTTGCATGATTGTGATGTGATTGAAAGTATTTCTGTAAAAACAATACTTTTATCAGATCGTTTTAACTTCAAATATTGACATCGGTGTTTGAAGCATGTTGGTTGTGCTTATTTTGATGTTGATGTTTGATGCGTCTGTATGTTGCTTTCAGATGACTCACAGAAGAACAGCCGAGTGCTTGATGACACTTTGATTATCCACAACGCCAGACCAGAGGACAGCGCCGTCTACCAGTGTGACGCTTCAAACAGCCATGGCAGTCTTCTGGCCAACATTAACATCATGATCATGAGTGAGTATTAGAGGGAGACTTTAACCCTGCACAGCCAGAGAGAACATGCTAGCTAATAGGTATACCAGCATCTGGGAAATGTTGTGTAGTTTGTGTGGGCTCAATAGAAACCAAATATTAACCCTCTTTATCATCCTGGAAGCATTTGGCTAAGGTTAGATTATAACCATTACGTACAATGCCTGGGCAGCAGCTGTCTTTAAGTAATGTGTAACACCCCTTTGATCAATAATAGGTGGCAATACTATAGTAGATAATGGACCAGTAGGTTCGACTGCTGGAGCACAGTGAAATGTTTAAATGAAGCTCAAATTCAAGAGGTTGAATTTGGGAATATGCCGGCTTTTTGTATTAAAGTAATAAAAATAAATAAAAATATATACCTACAAAATCAAAAATAATGGTACCACTCACACTGATTACACTGGTTGTGTTAAATCACAGAAAAAAAAAATATCTAATTGGCAATTGCTCAGTTTGACATTAATTATCAATATCTTAATTATAACCTGAATTTACTATTACTTTTATGCAATTCAAGTTTCTCTCTAAATCAAATTCAATTCTACAACATGGCAAAAAGAACAATCAATTATGAAGAAAAAAAGAAAAAAGGTCAAGTCAGAGTCAAAAGGGGAATGTATGTGTGTGTGTTGATCAGGGGGACTGAATGTGAGAGTGTTTTGCAGCAGTTGGCCTACCACCCCGCAGGGTGTGGCAGAATTAGGATACGTTCAGTAGCCACTGGTAGTATCTGGTGATACTGTTTCCCTTTCGCTCTAGATCTACGAGGGAAGGCTCGCCATCGACATCACTGGAAGATCCAAATCAAAGAAAAAACAAACAAAAACAACAACAACAAAAAACCTGACCGTGTGTCAGAGAAATATCATAAATTTCACTTCTCTACCATCTGTCCTAGCAGTAGTCCATAACACACAAAGTGCATTACATTAATCTTCAAATACAAATAAAATATTAAATCACACTGTGTAAGCTTTTACACCTTTCATATTAAATTTTAACATATTAACTGCATATAAAATTCAATAAACAAAATATGCAACAGTACAAATAATATTGTACCCATTGGATAATCAGAAATGTAAAATAACTCATTTCTTTTTGTAACCTCTACTCATTACTCTGAGTGAAAATAAATCGACAATAGTCTCTAATTTGTTTCTCTTTTTTTCTCTCTCTCATTCTGGAACTTGGAAATTTTATTGGCTATAGCTTCCTCTGCTTTTTGGCTGACAGTAGTAGAAGCAAGTCTGCTGCTGTAAATGAAAGAAATCACACCCAGATAGATTTTCTTCAATTCTGCTTCTGTAACCCATCTGTCTCAATGTTCTACAACCTGAGCTGTAGCACTGTATGTTGTACTAAGGTGTGAGTGCATTTCTATTGCGCTTTTGACCAAAAGGCACTGGCCCCATCAGGAGCAATTGTTTGGGTTCCCTACAGTACCTCCTGAGCCACATCCATCTTTGTTATATATACTACCTTGAAGAAAAATCAGTCCACTCTGAGATTATGTAGCTTTAGTATTTCTCACTCATTCCACGAACCAGTTCATGATCACATGTCACTCGAGGAGTAGATATTAATGTAAATAGAGGTTTACCTAATAAAGAGAACTCCCTCTCAACTCCCATCGAGCCTCTGTTCCACTAGCTTCTGTAACTTAATGCGATCTCACATACAGCATTTAAGAAAAAATGAAGGGTTTACAATACGTATTTTTTTAAATATTTTTTATATATGAGTACTTACTATAGTCCTTAATATGATAATCTTTGTGATCTTAAAAAGTTACTTAAAGACTCCAAAATAAACTACAGCTCCCAGGACATTTTTCAACGCTGCATGTCCATGATATCCACCAGCAGTCTCTACTCGTGTCATTTTAGCCGTAATCTCTGTTGTGTAAAACAACAATACTGTGCAGTCCTCTCTGTGCTGTTGCTATTACAACCATGCAGAGCTGCAACTTGCGATTATCATCAGTTAGTTTATTATTTTAGTCAGTAATATTAACTAAACAATGATGTAATATGTTATACAATCATCTACGCAAATGGAATGAACCATGTGGCTTACTGTAGTTTATGTCCCTACATGTTTAATCATTTTACAGATTAGAAATGTCAATGGGATTTTAAATTCCTTACTCTGGCTCTGCCTCTTGAATTGTTACAAGAGGCTGTGATGCTCATGCGTGCGTTTGAATTATATCTTTATTTGCAGTCAGCTGTTCTTCAGCCTCTATTTCGTTTGAAAGAATTCTCAAAGGCAATAACTTGACATTTGAGCAGCTGTAATCTCTCCTCCTTCCCCTTGCACCTAGATATGGCTCCTCAGATACTGACAATGGACCACCAAGAGTACGCTGTAGTACTAGGAGGGGACATCATCATGAACTGCAGTGTTTTTGGCTCTCCACCACCCAGCATCTCTTGGTAAGTAATCATCAAGTGTTAGTCTGTCTTGGTGATTTCTGTCTGTCTTGAGAAGTTTCACAGATCATTTTGACACCTGTTATTAAGATCTTCACACCTTCATTCAGTGTGATATGTTTTGTTCAGGTAACTATAGTTTTATTCATGCATTTACAGCACTGTATCAGTCAGCTCTGTGCATTGTGCGGATGTCTGTGCTGTAGTCTAAAGAATGAAGCAGAGCACATACAGTATCACCGTAGTGAGTAATGCTATTAATCCCACACCGCTTCAGGTGTCTGCATGACATAGTCTGATGTTGAAAACTTATGTCAGTTTAATGAGATAATCCTCTTCCGTTCCTCGAAATTGGGCTAATTAAATCCTATTAACTACCACTGCAGCTCTGCTACAGTTCTACAAAAGGGAAATAGGATCTCAGACAGTTCAAGACAAAAACAGTCTTAACTTTACAAAGAACTTCACAATATCAGGATAGTCCTATAGGATATTCCAACAACCCTAACCATGTTTTGCTTTATTTTGGATTGTGCTGTAACTCAAACCTCCCTGATTAATCAGAAACTAGGAGCTTCACTATTTCAATCAATTTATTATATATATTATATATTATTCCTAAATGCCACCTTAACTGGCAATGTATGATTTGCTCTTCTGCTGTCGGCTAAGTTGTACACACACACTCTAAAACAGGTGTGAAAACGTTCTCTCCTAGGGCCAAAGATGAGACTCCAGTAACCACTGAGGGGGGACGATTTTCCATTCTGCAGGACAGATCTTTTCAAATCATCCGCGCGGAAAAAAACGACAGTGGGACTTATGTGTGTGTTGCCTCAAACACAGAGGGCACGTCGGCTGTCACTGCTGTGCTGGATGTGAAAGGTATCTCGGCAACATGATTAGTGTTGACTTTCTTAAGCAGGATTAGCACTAGTCACTGCACACGATTAGTCATTGAAGGGCCAGTTTTCAACAGTTTTCAAATGTGTCTACATGCTTGGTTTGACTAGGGGTGGGGAGATGATGTTTTTTGTTATTCAAGTGAACTGACCCTTTAAAATGAAAGTCACTGTGGTTATAATGTGGTACAACTACACTTTGTATAGTACTCTTATTACTGAGACAGTTTCTGCAGGTTATTTGTTCAATAGAGGGCTTGGCTATGCAAAACCACAAAACAGTGTTATGTGGTTTTGCATGAAGTTTAATATGTGGAAGGTTGAATCCTTTTTAACATGCTCTGCTGTAGTTAAAGTAGTCTGTCTCTGTTTTTCACATTTTACTGAAAAGCCAATAAATATCTCAGTGTCTAGACTTTAAATTCATCTTTCATTGATGTTATAAAAAACATACAGCATAAATAATAATCTGGTGGAACATATTTAGAAATATATTTTTCATGGACATTTCATAAATGCAAATTACCATGGAAATTTATTGAGCAATAACAAGACATTTCCATTTTGATTACGCGTTTCACAAATCAAAGAGGCAGTTACTGCGAGAAAGACTCATTTATAAAGTAAATAATTTGGCTCAACTTCAAATATTCACATCCTTTTTGAAGCATGCAGGATTTTTGAATATAATAATGGTCTCTGGCTCCAGCTTAACAAGACAAATATCATTGTATTTTACTCTTATCTGCTTGTGTCCCTGCTTTTTTTATCTTTAGACCCCACGAAAATAGTAGATCCACCTCGGGAGGCGCAGATCATCAGTGGGACCACAGCCCAGTTCATGTGCCAGGCAGAGTATGATAAAAGCCTGCAGAGCACCTTTGAGGTGGTATGGAGGAAGGATGGGAAGGAGATCCCATTGTCATTTGAGGAAAATTCCAGGTAGGTGGCTGTGGTTTGATAGTGTTTTCATTAGTTCTGTTCTGTTAGTTTGTGTTTAAGATAGCTTTATTCAGTGTCTTTATATCTATGCTAATACTAGGGAAGAAAAAATGCATGAAAAAATTGATTACCTCTGCCGAGGAGGTTATATTTTTGTTTGCCTGGTTATCGGGTAGTTTAAGGAAAGTTAAGCCATAGCTTAAGCTACTGTACTTGGCACATATAAACCATGAATGTCTATCGCAATGTGCATTTTGATGCAGCTCTGGATTGAAAAAAAAAAATCAATAACCATGTTGAGGATTGTGTAGCCTGTGGCTGAGGTACTGTACATGCTCACTGAGCACTCTCTACGTGATTGATTGATTTAATTTGTATTCCAGCTTTTAATGATTGTGCTTATTTGTTCAGATACTTAGTGGATGATGGCTTGCTGCAGATCATGAATGTGAACCTGAGTGATCAGGGATTTTACACATGCATTGCTAGGACCAGCCTAGATGAGGACAATGCCACTGCACTGCTCACCATACTGGGTAAGAGGGTTTTGTAAATAATATAATATAGAATATCATTAATTATTAATATATTCTTTGAAAGGACACAGAATATAGACAGCGATATAAATAATTTTAAACAGGGTGTTGCATTGGGGTTTGTATGTCATTATCATGTTTAAACACTCCAGATGTTTTGGTTATTAAATTGACTATCAAATGTTTTGTGTTGCAGATGTTCCCGATGCTCCAAAAAATGTAACAATTCTTGAGTTAGAGAGTCTGAGAAATGTCCGTCTGTCCTGGGTGCCCGGGAGTGATCACAACAGCTCTGTAACAGGTAGATGTTAATGTATAAAATGAAGTCTGAAAGGGGGTGATGGTAGTTGTGCTAAATAATGTAACAGAGAAACCACATTTACTCAGAGATCATCAACAGTTGCTTGTATACTGTTTTAACTGTCACTGATTAGGCTTTAGTTAATGGACTACATAATTATGTAATTACTGTGTAATTATTCATAGCTTGTTAGGTGTGTGCGCCCATGCCCGCTCTGGACACACACTACTGAGCGAATATAACAGAATATTGTAGAACAGAATAAATTACAACTTTATTGTCTCACCAGAACTAAGTTTTTCTTCACTCACCATGAAGACAATAAATAGCATTATAGTATATAGGCAGGTTAAATTGGGCACATAGGCATGCACTCTTCTATGTCATCAACTACACATCTTCAGTAATGTATGTATTTTTTCAATTTTCTCTGCCTTATTAATTCAAATGACTAAATCATGTTTTCTATATATCTGTAGAGAACATAGGCCTAAATGAGGTGATG